GACAGAAATAAAAGGAATAAGGATAGGAAATGAAAAAAATAAATTATCACTATTTGCAGATGACATATACTTTACATAGAAGACCCCAAAAACTCCATCAAAAGACTACTAAAGTTAATACATAAATTCAGCAGTATAGCTGTATACAAAGTCAACACTCAAAATCAATAGCAACCCTGTACACAAACAAAAAACTCATTGAGAGAGAAACTATGGAAATAATACCTTTCACAATAGCATCCAAAAAAATGAAACACTTAAGAATCAATCTAACAAAGGGTATAAAAGACCTATACATTGAAAACTACAGTACACTAAAAAAGAAGATTGAAGAGGATATCAGAAATTGGAAAGACAGCCCTTATTCATGGATGGGAAGAACAAAAAATTGTAAAAATGGCCATACTCTCAAAACTGTTTTACAGATTTCATGCAATCTTGATCAAAATACCATTACCATGCATCTGTAGATCTAGAGTAAACATTCCTAAAATTCATTTGGAAACAGAAGAGACCTAGAATAGCAAAGGCAATCATAGAGAACAAAGGCAAGGCAGGGGGCATCACAATCCTTGACTTGAAATTATATTACAAAGCTACAGTGATAAAATCAGCATGGTACTGGCAAAGAAAGACCTAAGGACCAGTGGAACAGATTAGAAGATGCAGACACAACTACAAAGATACTCAGCCACCTTATCTTCAACAAAGAGGCTACACATGTTCATTGGAAGAAAGATAACCTCTTTAATAAATGGTGTTGGAAAAATTGGCTTTTCACATGCCAAAGATTGAAACTACACCCATGGCTATCACCTTACATTAAACTAAAGTCCAAATAGAGCAAAGATCTCAATATTAAAATAGAAACACGAAATCTACTGGAAGACAAGGTAGGTAGAAATCTTGAAGACACAAGAGTAGGCAAAGAGTTCATGAGAGTGTAGAGTGGTACACCCACCATGGAAATCAGTGTGGAGTGTCCTCAAAAACCTAGGATTGGAGGTCCCACTCAATCCAGCTATTCCCTTTCTGGGTACTTTCCCAGATAAACTGAAAATGTCCTGCTCCAGTAATATATGTATACCCCTGTTTATAGCAGCACAATTTGTAATAGCTAAATCTTGGAAACAACCCAAATTCCCATCAACTGTGGAAAGGATTTTAAAAACTGTGGTATTTTTATACAATGGAATATTATTCAGCTATAAAGCATAATCTTGGGGCTTTTATAGGTAAATGGATGCACCTTGAGACCACACTCATAAGTGAAATAAATCAAACTCATATTTATAAACATTGTATTGTCTTCCTAGTGTAAAAAAAACAGAAAGAGTAATAAGATCCAAAATGTTCAAGAGATATTGTGATAATTAAAAGGAAATCAAGTGCTCAAAAGGAAAAAACAACTGAGATACGAGACAGGAGAGAAAAAAGAAAAACATTATATGTATATAGGTATACACATATTATGTATGTATATATATATATATATATACACATATATATACAAGATAGATAGCTATACTACTAATCTATTAGTTCATCCCAAAGAACAGTTTGTGCTTTCATTGTTTATTTTTTGCACCTAAATCTTGTAATCTGAGCAACTATTTCTAAAATAACAATATGCAATATATTAATTTCCTACTTTTTTGAACTTCTGTATCATTTCTATCCTTTTTTCTTTTTTTTTTTAAATAAAAAATAAAAGGAGAATACAGCAGTGAGGAAAGAGTACAGGCTCCAGGATAGTCAAGAAAATAGAAATTACAAAAAGCAGGAAGAGTGTCACTCGGTGTCAGTGCCCTTAGGCCAACTGGTATCTGTCCAGTTAGCAGACACACAGTCAGCTCTATCCTCCCACACAGACTAGAGACCACACTTCACAGGAAGGGCTTCAGGTCTTGGGAGAAAGACATTCCTGGGTGGTAGTACATACATGTGCTACACAAAGGGACAGAAAAAGGGTTTGCACTTGTAAGTTTTTGTTGTTTTGCTTTGAATAAATGCCCTGGGGGTGGGGAGTGGAGCACTATTGTCCAGCTGAATTCCTTGAAGACAGCTTTGAGTCTTTCCAGGCTAGAATTTAAGGAGGGCTGCGTCATCCAGGAACATGGGCTTCCACTGCCACAAACCCAGTTACAAGATTCTAAAATCCCTGGGGATGGAGCTTATTTGTCCTAATTGTTGCAGTTTTTACAAACCACAGTCAAAATCCACTTGAGAGTGGTTCATTGGAGGAGTGCAATTAACCTCTACCCAAGGAGTCTTTGTGGATGAATGGATATTGGCTGAATGAATAGATGGACCTACAGAGGGATGGACAGACGGAATGACAGGATGATAGATGAGATGAGAAACAAGTATTGGAGGGGAGAGTCAGGGTGAAAGTCCGAACACATTTAAGCTCACATATCAAGTGGCAATCATTTAGAGAAAAACTTCTCAACTCTTCTCAACCACACCCTCTCAAACACTGCTGGATGCATGTAAGGCTCTCACTTGCTTGCAAAAAGTGTTAATCAGAACGAACTGCTAATTTATCTAGTCCTATGCAACCTGCTTTGTTTCCTGCTGAACATTTTCCAAGTATGAGTTTGTTTGCTATTGTTTTAAAGCTCCTACTAGAGACAGATCCTGAAGAGCTTACAAAAACAATTCCTATGGAGCTATGCTATCTGTTCCTATTAACTAGCTTTTTATTAATGAAACATCCAGCAGTGGGGTTTTTTCATCCACCCCCTTGGCAGCCTTCCCAGAGGTGTGGAAGAGTCTTAACCCACTTTCCTCACTTTCTCCTACCCCCATCGTACTTTTCTCCACCTCCAGCTCACGCTCAGATCCAAAAAGGTCCTCTGCATGTGAGATCGCAGGCAGAGAATCCAGTTCTCCACGTAACCACTATTTCTGGTGCTCCCCACAGCCCTAGCTTACAGCACTCTGCATTTTTCTCAGCAGGTCAATTCCAGCATTAGCCAGATTTCCTCTTTTCTGTGTTTTCATAGGATGACACAAATTAAAATACAAAAGGCAGTTTTCGAAGTTAACATTTGAACATAACTTGAAATTAGAGCCAATTCGGGACTGGTGGTGCCTTGCGTTTATATAATTAGGGAGAGGGGTGGGAGGGTAGAAAGATCTCCCATTTAAAAAAACTTCAAAACCACAAACACAACCCTAGCATGAACATATTGTTGGTATACCACCCTCCCAAGAAGCCTCAATGAGAGTTACAAGCTTGAGATTCACTGGCTTCCATTAATTGCCTCTGCTGGGAGATACAAAAGACTACAGAGGCTTCTAGCAGCATTTCAATTTCTAGAAAAATCACTAAGCCTAACAGTCTTCCATTGCATCAATCCTCCACATGCTATTCTTATCTCTCTTTCACAAACCACCAGGCCTGCTGTTCCCTCTAATTTGGCCGCAGCGATTCATTAAAAAATGGGGGTGGGGGAGCTTGGTTGGGCATCCTCCTCTAGTTTGGCTTTCACAACCTAGTTCCGTGTCGGTTATGTAATACCAAATCCCAAAACAGGGAGTTAGGGAGTAGCAAAAGCACGGTTGTAGTTCTTACATAAGCTTTCATAAACCATCCATAAGATCTGATCTCAGGCTTGCTTGGATACTTGGAATTACATAAAATAGAACAAAACCAGTTATTCAGCAGATTTCCCTGACTTTAAAAGCAAAACAAAAATACTTTGCCCCTAACTGATCAGTTTATACTGTAACAATGTTTTTAATTGAATAGGGAAAATCATCTTTAATGACACTCAATTATTTTACAATGTAAGCATGAAGGAATATCCTGACACAGTACTCAACTCTTCCAGCTACCCTCTGTGCACAATGCAGGATACCACTTAGGTCTTCTGCTAGTGTTCCTCACAGAAGTATGTGTCCTGGAGAACACCAACTGCTCTTTCTAAGAAAACCCAAGAGGAATTATTTAGACAAAACACAAGCATGCATGTGCTTGAAACCACCAGCACAGTTCCTTTCCAATACCACTTTTCTCCCCGATGTTTCTAACTACCTATTTTTGACTTACTTTAAATCACTGAAGCCACACCTTAGGCTACAAGGTGACAAAGTAAAAGAACCAGTATTTTTCAATGGGTCTCACCACTGTACACATTAAAATCACCAGGAAATCTACTAATAGATAACAAGGTATCACTCCAGAATGGGGCGGGTGTCAAAAGGGATGCCTGGACCTTAGTATATCTGATGCCTTCTATTTTAGACTTATCTGAAAAAAATGATGCGAGCAGAGCTTGTGGGTGGTGGGCAAAGAGGGAAGAAAAGAGCTTTAATAACTGGCAACTCGCAATTACCATTTCTATCCCATTTCTGTCTAGCAAAATGAAAGCATGCAATTGTTAGAAAGCCATTAAGGATATTTCTGGAATTTTTTTTATCACTATCCAATTCCCACCAATTTTAATAATAGGCTTCAAAACCTGGTTTTGTGTTGTAATGCTTTATACTTTAATGAGGAAGTTTTAAACGGCCCTATTTTATCTTAGAAGGATATCTGAAACTCAGACCATGTTTATTTCCAAGGAAAGTTTTGGCTTAAAGCAGAAATTATGCTTCTGACTTCTACTGCTCTTCTTAAGTGCTCTGGTAATCACTCCTAACTTTACCAACGAGCAAATATTTTTTAAAGCACTTATATAACCGCGAGCTCTTGGTATCCTGCCAAGCGTACTTCTTGCTGTGTTTGTATTTAAAATAGAATGGTAGTAACATGACTTGGGTGTCTGCAATTCTTTCTGCGCACAGCCTCAGAATGAAAAAGAAAAAAAAGATGTTGAGGAGGAGGAGGAGGAGAATGATGATGATGGAGGAAAAAACAAATGGATGGAACATGCCGTTCCACTGTTTTCCAACCTAAAGATCCAAGGAAATAACACATGCATACTAGATTAAGACGAAGACACAGACCGAATCACCCAGAGCCGGGCGGGTGGGGGCCCGCTGGAACTAACCTGCCACGTGAACGGCGGTGTGCAGCCCGGCAGCCCGCGCAGGTGCCCGAGAGCGGCGACGTCTGCGCCGAGCAGGTGATGTGCGCAGCAGGAAAAGCGCTCTGACGACAGCGGCCGCCAGCGCCGGGGGCCCCCAACTCTCCGCACCTGCGCCCGCGGCCGCCGCCCCGCGCCGGGACCCGCTCGCCCGGGCCAGGCGGGGCCGAGCGCGACGCTCAGGATCCGGCGCTGCCCGCGCGGAGTCACGCGTCCCGGCCGCCACGGCCGCCGCCGCCCGCCGCTGCTCCCCGGCGGGAGTTCCCCCGACCGCGGTCCGGACCGCGGCCGCGAGCGCGCAAACTGGCGGGCGCCGGCCGAGGGCGCAGGTGCAGCGCCAGGGCGCCCGCACCTGGACATGCGGCGCCGCCCCCGCCGGCCCGGCCCGCGCCCGCCTCGCGGCCCCGCCCGGGCGCGCTGCTCCGAGCGCGGGGACCCGGGGCCGGGCCGGGGCCGCCTCGGCGCTGCCCGCCTCGCCCGGACAAAGAGACGCCGGGGCCGGGGCCGGGGCCGCCCAGCCCGAGCTCGGAGCTTCGTCCGCGGTGACGGCGGCCGGGCGGGCGGCGCGGGGCGGCACGGGCGCGCACCCCTCCTGGCCGCGGGGAGACGCACACGCCGAGCCCGGGCGCCCCCTCCCGGCCCGCGCCCCCTGCGCCGCCCGGGCCGCAGCGCCCTCTGCCGGCCTCGCCGCTGCAGCTGCCGAGGCGGTTGACGCGACGCCGGGGCCGCGGGGCTGCTGGGGTCCGGGCAGCGCAGACTGCAAGGCCGGGGAGCAGCACGAGCGCGAGTGGGCGGCGGGGCGAGGACGCTGGAGATGGGGTGCGCGTCCTCCTGTAGTGCCAGATGGGGGTGGCTCGGGTTCTGCGCGGGAGGAAGCCTTGGGGAGGGGCGTTGGGAAGAACTTTGAACAGCTCTGGGGCTCCGGATTCGAAGGGGCCCCCAGCGCTCTTGGAAAACACTCGCCGGGCAGGCAGGCAGGCGATTCCTCCTAGAAGCGCGCTTAGGTTCGTGGTTCCTAAGCCCCAAATGTGTCTACCCTCCTCGGTGTCTCTTATGACAAGAAGATAAATTAATGACTTCTCAAAGACTCTTCTAGTCCCGCCTGAAATACTCTTTTTTTCCAATGCAAGTGAAATAAAGATTTACCAGGATAAAGATGGAGTGAGTGATGGGGCTGAGCACAGGGGCGCTCTGGGAGGTCGATGTGGCAGGATCATAAATTCAAGCCCAGCCTGGGTATTTCGGACTCTTGTCTCACAGGCTACTTTATAAAAAGGACTGGGGAATGTAACTCCATGCGAAGGCCCTGAATTCAATCCCTGGTAGCGCGTGGGCACACACACACAAAGTGGGATTGTGGCGCTGTCAATTGTATTATTTAAGTTGGGCTGCTTTATTTGTTTGTGTTTTTAAGTGTTTTAGACTACTGTAGTTAACGGTATTTTTGACCAGTTAAATTTTTTTTTTAACACACTGGACTACTTGATGAAGGAAAATCATGAAACAGTGCTTTTTTCCCACGCTATTGGCTCTTAAAATTATTCTATCTGATCTCTTTTATCCTCTGGAAGAAACTAGGGCAGATTTTATACCTTTTTCTGTCACTTCCAGGTGTGAAATGAATCTTTGGGTTTGTGTTACAAAACCCAGTATAATCACACGTTAACTGTTATGGTTTGTGTCTGGATGTCCCCCCAAAGCCTCATGTGGTCATGTGACCAGGCTTCTAGAGTCTGTGAATGATTCATCGGTCTAATGCTGGGTTATGGGTGTGAGTGCTCTAATCTAAGTCGGTGTGGCCTACATACAATATAAAGGACAGAAATAGTCTTCTCTCCATATGCTCCACCCTTTTTGCTCTTGTTACTTTTGCTGTCTTGTGCCACCATGAATTGTTGCCCTCTGCCATGCCACCCTGCCTTGGACCTAGCAGATTATGGACTGAAACCTCCACAAACTGTGAGCTAAATAAACCTTGTCTTCCTTCATTTTGTTTATCAGCTAATTTGTCTCAGCAATGAGAGAAAAGTAACCAGCACAGTAACTCTAATCTTATTCAACTTAATCCCTTCCTGCTGTGCTCTCCCATTGACCATCCTGACCCATGCCCAGAAACCTATGGACAGGGAAAAGCCCTTTGCTGGGTTTCCCTTCCCTTCCCTGTGTCTTCCTGGCTAGCCTGTGAAGCTTGTACCCTTCAGCGTGGTTGTGCATAGGTCTGCCCCAGCACAGCTCACACAGACCTGCAGGGCACTGGGCTCTGGAAGGCTGATCTGACAACCTCCCACCACATCTGGCTCATAGGTAGCCATTTCTGAGCTCACATATGTCCCCACACTACAGGTGACACATACCAGGCTCTCCAGAGAGTTTTCCAGAAGAACATTCCTTTGCTTGAAGTGGATAAACCCTTTCTCTTTGATCTCTCCCAACCACTCTCCTACCCATCAGTTTGGGCAGAAGTGGCAGAATCCTTGACTAGAAAATCCTAAAAGATGGTCCAAAGCCTCTACTTCTATGTAGAGACACCCATCTCTGTGACAGCATGAAGGTGAAATACTAAGATCCAGGCGCATAACTAAATGACAATCTGCAGTCTCCACACCTTGGGACCCACTGTAGTGCTCTGTCCAAGGCCACAAGCCTCCCAGCATTGTGGAATCACTAGAGCTGGACTGTTTCCACCTGATGAATGGTCCCTCTAATGTGAAACTTCCACCATCCCCCAGGACTCACTCAGGACTGCTCTGCTGTCTGGAACTCTTCTTCCCCATCTACCTTTGTCTTCTTGATTCAGAAGAGGTATACCTGTACACCATGTGTCTTCTCCCTCCTGCTCTGTCCCGCATATGTGTTTTTCCAATACAGTCATCCCTAGGTATCTTTGCAAAATTGGTTCCTGGATCCTGACAGATACCAAAATCTAAGGACACTTAAATCCCTTATTGTAAAAGGCATAGAGTTTTCTTATGTCCTATGAAATCTCCTGCAGATATCAAGTCATCTCTAGATGATTTGTAACACCAACCACACTGTAAGTGCTATATAAATAGTTGTTATACTGTATTACTTAGAGAATTATGGTAAGGAAAATATCTGTACATTTTCAGTACAAACACAACCTTCATAGACCTAACATGTGTGGTATTTGATGGAGACCTGAAGATATGGACAGCCACCATGTATCTTGCACATCTAATGCTGCCTGGGTATTTCCTTCTCAGAGAGACTAAACGAGCAAGATCACCTATTTTAAGCCCAACAACTACTATAAGACAAGTTCCATTTTAACATTTGGTTATGCTCTACTTAGAAAATGTGGAAAGAGAAGTAGAATGTTCTTTCATGGGGAACAAATAGGATCAGAACTTAGTGGAAGCTCTCTCCTAAATCCTCAAAGAAGACCCTGACAGAAGATGCAGATAATTTATTCTAAAAGATGGTCCTAAGAATCAGGAGTGATGAAATTGATGCAGCGAGATAAGAAAACATGAAAAGCCAATATGACTGTAATGGCTTATCTTGACTGTCAACTTTGCTGTCTTGAGAGACCCCTAGGGGATTAGTAAAGCACACTTCTTTGTGTGCCTGGGTTGGTCATGGAAACATGATCCTGGGGGCCACACTTGATCTCTGGCCACTTCTCTAGCCCTCTTTCCCTCTGCTCCCCAGCTGACTTGAAGTTAGCAGCTCTGCTCCACCAGACCCTTCTGCCTTGATGTTTTTACCTTGTAGCCAGCTCACCATTGATTGAAGCCTCTGAAACCATGAGCCAAAATAAAACTCTGTTAAGTTGCAGATATCAGGCAGTTTTGTCCCAGCACCGGGAACACTACTCAATATAAAGATGTAATATCAAGGCCACTGCTGTAGGAGTCAGGCTCCCAGGCATGCAATACCATTGGGATCCCTGAGAAGCTTACTAAAGACTTCTCAGAAGGATGGTGAGCATTTACCATCTGGCTCCTGTTCTCAGTTGATCAGAATCCAGGGCTTTAGAAAAACAGAGGGACCTGTGCCTGCATTCTTGAGGTTGGACATAAAAGGTGGAGCCCAACTCACATGGTATGTCCATCAGGACTTGGCAGAGTGACCGAGGAGATGTGATGCTGTTGGTCAAAGGTGTATGCTAGAGGCTGAATGTGTTGCTTAGTGGTAGAGCATTTGCCTACCATATGTGAGACACTGAATTTCATCTCTAGCATAGCAAAAAGAGAATCAGGCAGGGAAGGCATGTGCTGAGGCATGCTTCAGAACTATGTCCTCAGAGGCATCGCCTTGGGAAATTCCAATTGCTGAAATGCCAAGGTGAAGAGACTGAGAAGGAAAGAAGATGATAGTGTTTGCAAGTTATGAATGACACTATCTAAGCAGCAGGAGAGTAATTGGGGTCAGTGCCTATGGGAGAGGACATGAGCCAGAATTAGACTCCCCCCAGAGAAGCTTCACACAGCCCCCTACTTAGGGAGCCTACAGCAAGTACAGAGGTTGGTGCTGGAGCCAAACCCTTGATACCAACTCAGAAGTACAATTGTGAAGTTTCTAGGACAGACATGACCCAGTTGTTGAACAGAGTCATTATTAAAGATTAGTTTGCCAGGGATATAGCTCAGGAGCCTATGTGCCTCCCTGGAAAGTGCAAGGTCCTGAGTTTGATATCCAATGGGGGGGGGGGTTGGATTAGGCCTTAGGAGGGTGGTGTTTTCCAGAAGGTTGAGTCGTGGTCTGTGCTTCCTTCATTGTCCCCAGGATGCCAGCGTCTGCAAGACAAGTGTAAGGACGCGCACTTTTGGCAAGTGGACTGACCAGAACCTGAGACCCAGGAAAACAGCTAGGCATATGGGACACACACACCTTTGGACAGCAGAGTAATCAGCAAAAGCAGCAACGCAGAAGTGTCTGCAATAGCAGAGAAGCCAGCAGTGGGACTCGGGAGAGCTCCTCCAACAGAAGACCAGACTCAGCCCCCACATCCAGATGCCAAGATCAGCTCCAGATCCGGCACATCTCACATTAGCACAGAGATTTCACATAGACACTATCGTAAAGCTGTAAACACCAGAGTTATTTTATTACCATTATTCTTCCTTGTATGTCTGATTGGACATCATTTTGTTTTGCATTCTATGGTTATGTTTGAGGAGGGTTTTTTCCTCTCCTCTCCTCTCTCCAGTCTCCTTTTTCTTCCTTTCTTCTCTTCTTTTTCATTTTTTCTTTTTCTTTCTTTCTTTCTTTCTTTTTTTCTTTCTTTCTTTCTTTCTTCTGTTTTTCACTGTTTAGGCTTCATGTGTTTCTTTTTCATTTTCTTTCATTGATGTTGTTTCTCTCTTCAACTACTTCTTGCATTTAAATTTCAAAGTGAGTATTCATTCTCTGCCCTTCTCCACATTCTGTTTCATTGTTTGCTTCCTGTGTCCTCTGATTTCCCAAAATTCCAGTGACCATCCTTTGATCTCCAACCTTTACTATCTCTGACCTCATTTATCACTGTAGTCTGTCCCCTACTCCCCCACACTCTTCCACAAAAGGGTAAAAATCACTCCACTAAGGGGAAAATCACTGCATACGTTTGATTTTGCTATATAACCTCAGACTTTGCTCCTGTGAATGAAGGTAACAGCTAATGGTGGTCATAGTTTGTGGTTAAACTGTACTTGAAACAAATGTTATTACTAACTGTACTACTTTAGCCAGGATGTCATATAAATGGTTTTTCTCCTCTGTGTGATAACACTGTGGTTGTATGAGGTCCTAATCATCACTGTAGCCCAGTACCAAAGCATTGGATGCTGAGCTAAACAGAAATTTTGCATCATTTACAAATTGAGAAGGTAGGTTCTTGGGATAGCTATAAGGAACCATCTACATCTAAAAGATATCCCTGAGGAACAGATCTCTCCTAGAGATTGGGGTTGATGAGAAATCTGGAGTCAGTACAAATGCCATTTAAAAAAAAAACTCTTCACACCAATAATACTAGAAAACTTTCCAAGTGTAAATAAAGAATCTGACATACATGAAATAAAGCAGCCATGACCAAAATAAAACTACACAGGAATACAATAATCAGTATTCCAGAAACACAATAAGAACAGAATTACAACAGAAGATTAAAAGCTGTCAGAGGAAAGAAACAAATCAACTATAAAGGAAAGTACATCAGAATCATGGCAGACTTCTCAACACAAACTTTCAAGTCAAGAACAGCATGCAGTATTAAAATCCCCTACTATAGGAGAAAAAATAGCGGCTTGCTAGGAAGCTGGATAGAGAACTTCTGCAGGGAAAACAGCTCAGATGCCAGAATTTGACAACATGGAGAGGGCCAGATGGTTGAAGAATGATTCTTATTAACCCAGGAGGAAACCAAAGGGAAAAATAAAATTAGGAAGAGGAAGGAATAGTGCAGGTGAAGGGCCGACAAGCTCACTGAGACCTCCTTTCTGCACTGTGCTGGGCACACCCTGGAGTCAGACAACCCAAAGTTGCACTGAAGCTGCAGCTGCTAATAACGGGAGTCGATGAGGCCCAGGCCCTTGACGGGAGGATACGTTGGAGGGGAGCCAAGATGGAGAACTGCATCAAGTCATGCTGAGTGCTGGGGATTGGGTCCCGTGGCTGCTATTGCTGGCTGGAGGACATCTTGGAGTTGGGCAGAGCCCGGTGCTGCAGCAGTGTCAGTTGGCCACCCCTGGTACAGAGAGGACTGGTGGGATCTGATGGGGCTGAGCTATGCCTCTCATTGAGACCCAGTAACCATGACTCTGTGACATCCACAAGGTACAGCCTAAGTTGCTGAAGGAACTTGTGGGTCAACTGGCTCAGAGGCTCAAGGCTAGCCTGCACTGTCCCTGTGTCCCTGCGTGTACCTCAGATAACAGAAAATTGGGGAGGGCAGCAAAATCCCAGTCAGCATGCTTCAGAAAGACCCAGAGAATCCCAGGGCACACCTATCTGAAAGAAATGAGAAACATGGCAAGACATAGAAATTTTAAAAAACCTCCAGCCACTGACCCTGGGAAAATAAGCCCAGGAGAGGTAAATACAGAAGAGAACCAGTGCAGTAATCATGCAATATTAGACACAGCATCAGCAGACATAAATAAATACCTTCATGACCTCATAGATGAATTTAAAGCTGTACTTCTGATCCAAGTGAGGCAAGATATAAAAAGATTAATTAAAGAAATGATAAGCCCCCCTAAGAGAACACAGATGGAAGATCAGAGAAACTCAGAAAAGGAAGAGAAACCTTTGATGAAGAATATAAACAAAACCTAGAATACATGAAATAGATCAAAGAGATTACCAG